CAGGATGAAGTGGAGGTGTGCTGCTGAAGCCCTATGTTCCACCAGGAACCAAAGGGACGAACAATAATAATAATGAGTTTGTACTAAAGCTTCACTCATTTGGTAATTCCATACATCGATGCTGGCACAATAATTACTGCTACTAACAGAATTATATTAAAGACAGTGTGGATGTATAAAAACATTGTATTTTCCATTCCAAAAAATATACATAAGAAATTATTAGTACCCAAAATTTCTAAAAGTTTTTAAAAAATAAAAAATTTATCCAACCATTAAACGTTTCCGACCACGTTGTCGAACCTCTTCAAGCCTACTTAAAACTTCTTTCACTTCAGCTTTCTTTGAATCCAAATTATCACCCGATTTTTTATTCACCGACGATTTACACTTGACTCGTTCTTGTTGTTGCTGTTGTTCTGATTCTTCATTCAACTGTTGTTGTACAGCATAATTCTCACGATATGCATCCATAATTAAATTCATCACACCATCTGGTGTATTTAAATCAGAGTGATCAGGAAAAGCTTTCAGTAAGGCTTTATGATCTAAGCCACAAGTTAATGCTCGTTCAAATACATACAAATCCACAGCTTTATCCTCAGCTAAACGTTGTGATGTCAGGCCAGATGAAGCGCTTGAAAGTCCAAAGTCGATTGGAACAACTCGAAAACTGATTTGTTTACCGTTAACATTCTTCTGCGATATAGTAAAACAAAATTGAAGAAGAACATTAGAACACAAGTTAGATATTCAGTTATTATCATTAGAGAATGATCTAAAAATTACCAGAGGTATCACTTGTAAATTGTTTACAAAGAAAGAATATAGTACTCACTAACATTCTGTGTGTTTTAAACAGAGGAATATGACGAGGAAACACGATTTCTTTTAGAAATTACTACAAGGTTTAACAAAAGAAGTGAAATACAACTCCGCTGATTGACATACACTTTAATAAGTATCACATATGTGGTCAAATATTCATCTTCGAGAGTAAGTCTGCAGGGATTCGACTTATTTCAAGTTTAGTCATGTATTGGTAACAATAATAGTGTGGTGAGAGCAGGCTGCTAGCCAATTGGTAGACACTAATTTACGCCAATGTCTAGGTCGCTAATATTGGCCGTGAGAAAATATGAACAAGACTGATTCAACAATCAACCACAGCAGACTTAGCGTGGGCAGATACGATTCACAGATATATATGGCTTAACTTTCTGAGTAACCAGTCACAAGCAGTACAGAATAACATTGAACAAGAAACAACCAATCAAAAGACTGTGTTTGTCTGCTTGAATAAGCTATAATAATGTACATGAAATATGTATAAATACGTGCTGATTTCCGTAATAAAACGATCTGTTGCCTGGCCCTTGTCTTCTGTTGTTACAATAAGACCATTGGAAACCAGAGAGTACTGGCCTGGGACTCTTCAGAGGCAGGGTGAGAGGAGAAATACTCACCGACTACACTGGTTGGAGGTCACGCTAAAATCACAAATTGACAGAAATTAAAATTTAAACGCCAATGAATTCCGGCTTAAGTAGCTGGATCACCAACGAGCTTCGCCCCGTAACTTGAAGATCACTGGGGGCGATCTCAAGTGGGATAGTTAGTGCGCACTACTGAAGAGTCTCAGGCTAGGGCAAAACAACTGTCCAGGACTATCTGGTTTTCCAACTGATACCAATGCCTGATGAAATTTAAAACAAATATTAATTTGTCATTCTGCTGGGAGGTATTTCCAATATATCTGAGAAATAGTTCGCGCGTAAACACCCTCGACATACATGTGCATATATACTTAAGGGATAAAATAAGTTTACAGAAAATTTCTCATCGGCTGTATATCCCCCAGACAGATCTCAATATAAACATAACAAAAAATAGTGCAGAAATTACCTGTTGTATAAGAATATTAGCCAACGTCAAGTCACCATGAATTATGTGATTAGAATGTAGCTGAGCAAGCAATCGTCCCAGGGCTGTTGTTAAATCCCGTAGCAGTGAAACTGTTTCTTTTTGAAGATCCCCATTCGACATGTCTATTTCGATAGCCCGAGTAGAAAAGGTTTTAAACCATTCTTGTAGTGTAACAGCATCTGGACCTATTTCACCGAGCCAAATTCGACGACGTCGAATATCGACTAGAAGTATAGGTGGGACGTCTATGCCGGCTTCTCTGCAACGCAACAACTGTCGAACTTCAGCTCGCATTCGTTGCATAGATAAGGTAGAGTCCAATGTACTATGACGATATCGTTTCACAAATCTTTCCTTTACAATACATGGAAAAGTATACGTTGAACGGAATAGTTTAGTGCGATAGACTCTGGCTTCAGCTCCTTGATAAATTAAGGTTTCGGGTGCCAAAACATCTGGGACTGTATTATTTGAGTCAACTTGAAGTACTTCAGTATCAGACATGGAATTTTCTGAAAATTAAAATTTTTAATAGTTTTACATTGCAATAATTACCGAGAAGAAATGGCTTCTATGACAGTAAATAAAAGTGAAAAACTCGTTGTGAATGCCAAATAATAAGGTGTCCTTTAGTTCACACATATTTGTTGACTAGAATTTATGAGGTGGAGTAAACTGCACGTATTAAGATGAGAAAACAAGGAATCGCAATTTGGACGTCTAAATTATGTTCTTAGTTATGCTTTCTTCAATAAAAAAATTCCATAAGAATATATGGAACTCATAAAGTATTACTTAGACAACTATTTTAGAACTGTTCCACAGAAGGATAACAACAGATATACAGCAATAAATCTAAGTGACAGATGGTTCAGTGAATGCTTGCCAACCAATTAGATGGTCCAGGTTCGATTCGCAGAAGATGTATGTACTCTCAAACCTCACCTAGCCAGTGGTAAGACCAGAAAAGAGGAAAGGTTGGGTAAAAAACAACCCTGTTACTGAAACTCTACTCGGAACACAAAGAAATGCGGAACAACAATGGTTTAAAGTGTAATGAATCTCATCAGTCATTGATGAATACTACTGCCAACATTGGCGCATTCTCAGTAATGCGAAAGACATCATCCTCAACACAGTATTCACATAAACATCAGGTTAGATTCTATTCTTACATGACTAATATGCTAACATTAAAGTAACATGATCATCTGCTTTATGTGGGATGTACGTAAAAACAGTAAGCCGATAGATTGAGATAGATCCAGACCGATATGAAGCTGGACCGTTTGGATAAATTCGGCAGGTCTAAAACCACTAGAAAACTTTATTAAAGCAAACAAATCTGGTAGTACACTTTCAAGCTAATAAACCAAAGTTTAGAAGATTGTAAAATTGACTATCTGTATCAAATATGAATGTATTAACTTCAAATAAATATTCTTAATACAGATCAAAAAATGAGTGAAATAAAACTCAGCGTAATAAATTGACACTTAATCAAATGAATACTGAAGTGAAATGACCAACTTGATAAGTACTTAGGACTTTTGCAATAACTAGCTAACTAAACTTGAATACTAACCATTAAATAATGCTAAATGAATAGGCATTAAAGGACGGAGCTGCTGCTCAACAGATCGTGTGTCAGTGATTCACTGACATAATGCTTGCCAACCACGCACATGGTCCGGATTCAATTTCCGGATGATACACTTCTATACTTCGCTTAGCTAGTCATAAGTCTAATTTGGACGGAAGCTTAGGTGTGGAGCTAACAACCCAACAGTGTAAAAACAATATCGCCGCTACTGAAACTTCATAGCTCAAGCTTGAAGTCCTATGTCCCACTTAGAACTCAAAGGAATGGAGAAAAACTGTAGATTACGTATTCTTATGTGTAAATACTGTAGTAAGATGTACCGCCATTAATATGCGAAACTACTGATTGTATCAACCATTCAGAAGTAAGATGAAAGTCATAAAATTATGCCAAGTAAACTTCAAAAAACAAATTCAATAATGTAAGTGTAAAACTTAAACACTGTGGTAGAATGTAATTCCATATTAGGTAAGTTTATTTTAATAATCACCCAGTGATGCAGTATTAACAACTGAATGACGTATCGAGCATAAATTATTGCTGCTCATAATCATATCAATTTTAGTCACACAGTTTCATAACTAGTCTTTATCTATATTTTTTCTCTTTCTATCTCTTCAACTTCCTTTTGTTGCCAAAATCCATGTCTATACCACCCCTATACCGGAGATATGGAAAGTGTCAACAAACAACAAACGGAACTTCGAGAAAAAGGAAGAGAGAAAATGTGTATAAGACGAATTGTGAAACTGTGTGACTAAATTAATATGACTATGCGCGTTAAATTGTGCTCAAAATGTCATCTGCCACTTACGTATGAGTAAGCCATACAAACTGAAATTGAAGATACACAGATTTGTCCAATGGAATTGTACATGAAACGATAATAAATATATCAATGAACATCTAATAAAAGAAGTCTTAAAAAATCTCTGGATATCAGCTGATAACCACTTAATCAAAAACTCTGAAAGTTCATTGTAAAGCTGAAAAATTCCAGGAAAGGTGTACTGTTGTCAAATTTTCATCATTCTACAACTACTGACGTTAAGAAATAAGAAGAATCGAATAGTTACAGGATTTCATCATGAGCTGACATTAGTTAGAGAAGTATTGGAAAACCTGGGAGTACTGGACAGCTGTTTCGTTCTAGTCTTGGACTCTTCAGCAGTACGCACCCACCGTATGGATTACCCAATACTTGAATATCAATGAGATGCTCACTGGCGACTGGTCCTATTCAGGTAGGTAGTTACCTGGGGTTCTAGTGGGAAGTCGTGACCAGCAGGGTAGAGCAGGTCGGGTGTGAAGACAAATACTCGCCGAAGACATTGGCTAGCGGTTGCGCTATATCGTGAATTGGCAGAAGTTGGAATTCATGGGCCATTGGATCGGATCCCAATGGCTTAATGGTCTACACGAGCCTGCCTTGTAACCAGAAGGTCCTGGGTTCGAACCCCGGCGGGTGAGTACTGCTGAAGAGTCCCAAACTAGGACTGAGGAAACAGCTATCCAGTACTCCCAGGTTTTCTAATGGTTCTGTAGCTGATGTCAGCTCATAATGAAATCTTGTAACCAACAGAAAGAGTCCCAATCTCTAATACGACTATGCAAAAAAATCTTACATTTAAAAAACGTGGTGTTGTTAGACGTCTTCCAATAGCGATAGCGAGTTTATTAGTAGGCTAAGAGGTTGTCAGTAGCTTTGCAACTAGAAAAAAATGACATTAAGACACTTGCGTGCACATAATTTCGCACCACCTGTACTCACACCTGTCATATATGATTATGGAAAATAAAATTGAGACAGACAACATACATTGGTTGCTATCAACTACTTGACATGCTTTTAGTGCTATTTTCCAATCATTAAATACATTTTTACACCGCTCTAAGAGCATTTTTCGGCATTACGGAATAAAATGACGTCTGGCCTAGAGAGAATATGAGATCAGTCAAGCATATGATACACGCACTACGTGTACATAAGACATCATGTATCATGAATTGTACTTTATCGATTACAGTACGAAACCAGTTCACAATACATTCTGGATGAGTTCAATTTACACCTTCAAGCTTTGTAAGAGAAAAAACTATATTTTTGAAAATCAAGTCTAACAATGACATCAATTCAGTGATACAGAATCACTAAACCATATTTCCTTCGCCAGCCAGTCTCAACTGCTAATTGGTATACATATAGCCACATCCAGACTGAAAGTGGTTTCGGTAACTAAACATTCAAAGTTCACTTTGTTTTTGCCCCTTTCTTACATATCAGTTAATATTTTATCATAGACGAAGAAATTACGACCAAATATATGTCATTGTAGTTAAGTAATTATTTGAAATACTTAGAAGTGTTCGTCTATTTGCAAGATATTTCGAATAAAGACCTCATTTATTCCTTTCATGATAGTAGTTAATCTCAACTAGTTTTCAGCCCTACTAGATTTCCAAATTTATAAGCTGGTTTATTTGAACAACAGGCAGAATTAATTCTCCTATTTACAGTCATCGTGCGTCGGTGGCTCAGTGTGATAGAATGCTGGCCAACCACACCCATGATTTGATTTTCAGTCGATGCACTCCTAAACACCTCACTTAACTGGTACAAATTCACGGAAAAAGGGAACATCGGGCGTGAGGCCAGCAATCTCACCTCTTATTAGAAACGCCACCCACCGCAACTGAAACTTGAAGCCTTACATTCCACTCAGAATGCAAAGGAGTGAAAGAAATGAGAGAATTTACAGCCATCACGTATCGAAAGTTATCTGGCAAATGACACGCATAAATAAAACATATTTACAACATCAATGAATGGCAAAAATCTAGCAATCAAAAACACCATTGCTGAACTGAAGTTAACATTAGTGATTCTTCAGATCACACCTGTAAATAACCTTCGGAGCAATAATAAATGAAACTCTTTAACCTACCAATATAATCAGTTGAACAAATTAGAAAATGCAGAGGTGACTAAAGGGACAAAGATTTGTTAAAATATTATAGTGGCTATCAACAACACAACCGATTGTACGCCATTTCTGTACCATTATTACGTGAATTTCAAATTCACTATAAAAAGAACTTTGACAGTTATACGCAACAATAATCAATCAACACCAGAAGAATTTAGCACACATATATTCTATACGAAAAGTATATATTTTCTACAATAAAGGCAGTACAACTTAGTTACATTAAAATGAACAAATAAAAATAATAAATAACTGTAAGTGATACGATATGATATGATTGGTTGGTTACATTCAGTATGTGTGTGTTCAATTAATTAATCAAATCACCAGTTTAAAAGTATTTTATATAACGCGAGAAGAATTCAAAATGTCCGGAATTTACCAATCCAAAGCCTTTAGAAATTCTTCTTCAGTAATTTGTAAGCATTTCGACGCTTCGATTAACATCTGACAGAAATACAAATATAAAAATGATATAAAAAATAAAACACAACAGATAACAGTGCTTTCACTAGGTCTTTGTAGAACACGTTTACACGCATTCATATTTGTGCAGTCGTCAGTTAAAGAACATAAAATGTAAACGTATGAGCTCGCCTAAGTCTGCTTCGCCACACACACACACACACATAGTGAATTGTATCAAGTGCTTCCTATCGGAGTACTACTTTAACATTGCTTCAAAAGTACCTCCGTATTTCAAACTTATATGGTCAACGATAACACAACTTTGAAGGCATATATGAAATTAATTTTGACTTAACCAAATTTGAGCATGCTACTGTAAAATCTTGAACTAACATACCAGAGCTCAAATCTTTATAAAACCTTATGAGTAATATACAGAATGAAGGGTAGTCGACCTTGAACTCATCACTTCAAAAGTTGAAAGGTAGGACGGTTGAAGATATCCGTTGTTTCCGAAGAACATCACTCTAATGTTCAACACTGGTACAGTGAACACTGCTGTTTCATCCTTTAGCCTGACATCACAGCTTATTTTAGCCCTAATAACCCTCAAGCAACGAGAATTTCAGCTAATTAGGCATGGGTCAGCCTTAAGACACATCAGGTTACTCCCTTGAAGTTGAGAAGTCAAGGCAAACTAGTAGATATCGAGTACACAAGACCACGATTTCTTCTTTGACACTACAAAGTAAACTGATCAGATCTCTTCCTAGTCACTCTTAAAGTCCTTATCTAACATTTATATGCTCCAAAAAGTTAACAAACTACGTAATACTATTTATCATTTTTAAACACTCGACTGCAGAATAAAGCATTACATACAAGTCGTTTTTAGCAAATACAAACAGTCTTGTAGAGGGACAATTAGATATGAAATATTTTAATATGTATTTAGCACTGCATCTGAATTACAGAGGTGAAACTAACACAGAAATAACACTGAAAAGAATAGCATCAGATTTAGCAATAGAAAAGCTGATTTCATCCCAAAGTATCAAGTGACTACGTCAATGAGTTAAACTTATGACCCAGTAGTTGTGGAGAAATTTCTCTGCGAAGTTAGAAGTCCCTTACAAACATTCTGATCATTTTTAACAGCCTTGTCATAAAGATGAATGCATCAAAAAATCTCCTCTACTCTCACAAAAGTTTTACAGTTTAGTTACACAAAGCAGGTGATTTACTTACAAACTCTGATATTTAGAGAATCATGTTAAACACCAATGTGAATACTATAAAGTAGTATATGATATAAGCAAATAACACTGACAGATCATTTTTCAGTATCACGTGCTTTGTTCAAGTGGAGATATGATTCGTTGGTTCAAGAGCTCCGTTTACAACCAACCGGTCACAGATTCGAGTCCTCCTCCACCTAATTTTGATTTTTGATTATAGCTTGATTCCACACCGTAGTTTTGATACAAGTATGGAATTTCCAGCATGTGATATTGGTAGCCCAAATTTAGCAGGCCGACCATTGATATCGTGTGTGCGTCGGCAGGGGGTCGAACCCCGGACCATGTGCATGGTCAGCGAGAGTCCTTACTGCTGTGCCACCGACGCATTCAACCTAAGCAACTGGGTAGTATCATCAGCCTTCTCACGATGATAAGTGTGACTCTTAGCCTGGTGTACACTAAAGACGTGATCCAGGCAACTGAATTCAAACAAACACTTTTTTGTTCAAAGATGCCTTATCAACAACATTGATGATAACTCTGAAGCATTAAAACAAGACAGAGTGGCTTTGATTTGACATTTCTTCCATCATGAGGTATATTTACGCTCAACATATTTTCTGGACATTTTCTGCAATATATACACTTAGAATATAGTGATATCTAATCAAGAAATGACAATCATGACTTTTGATATTCAGTATGCCAAACTATGGACATACATTAAGGAGGTAATTAAAAATTGACTCTATGTTTCCTTGTTTCATAATCAGAATGATGGAGGGAACAATTATTATTCCGGACACGAAATAATAGCAGTTTTGACGTTTACTGACTTATACGCAGACAGTTATGTTTTTAAAAACTCAAATGTAAAAAGTATCCGAAGCGTTCATGAATAGTGAAAACACAAACATATCGTATCACGAAGAATAATAAAGATTTTATCTAGTCAGTTATATGTCTCCCCATCTGGTCTTAGTGTACAATAGTTCTCGCCACATTATATATGTCTGTCTATCTGTTTTCGACATAGAATTTTGCACATATGTGCACCAGTTCAAGTCGCCACACTCCCTCCTTGTAGCACACAAAGTAAGAGAAGAAAGTACAAGAAAGGCATAATAGAGACAGTAAACAGAGGTGTGAGACAAAGGAAGAGTAATAACGAAGAACAACATAGTTTAATTGGAAATCACAAGTCACAGGGAGTGGATGCATCTGCGCCAGCCATTGACAACGATCACTTTGAGCCATGTCACCAATTGTTTCCAACCATTGGTTTTTATCGTCTCGAGGACCCCAACCAGTCAGGGAGTCTACACCTTCCTACGTGGCTTAGACTAACTGTTGTAGATTTCATTGACTGATGCCAAGTTTTTGTTTGACCGCCGCTAGCTTTTATCCAGCCTGACCCTATATCCGCTAACATTGCTCGTCGAGGGAGGCGATGGCTTGGCATACGTAACACATGTCCTAACCATTTCAGTTTTTGTAACTTCACAACTTCCTCGATCGATTTCCCCTGTTTACCTAGAACTCGACCCCTAACCTCAATATTGCTCACCTTATCATGCCACTTCACACGGGAGATAGAACGCAGGCACCTATGATCAAAGACAGCTAGCCAGCCTTTTCATGTCTTCCACTCTCAGTGGCCAGGTCTCACAGCCATAAAGGAGGGCGGAGCGGACTGATGAGCAGTACACCCGCCCTTTGGTGGATAGTCGAATATCTCATCTACGCCAGAGACGGCGTAAACTGGCAAATGCGAAACTGGCCCTCCGTATCCGTGCCGAGATTTCGTCAGAGATCAACCCGTCGGGGCTGATGGTACTTCCCAAATAAGTGAAGCGGTCAACGTGCTCTACCGCTTCACTCCCTATTTCTAATCTAGGAGTTGCTGCAGTCCAGTCTTGTAACATCATCTTGCGTTTGGCGAATCGCATGCCAAACATTCGTAGATTGCTGCTCAAGGTGTTCAGAAGACTCTGCATTTTGACATTATATATGACTTGACGCATACACTACTAACAATATGTACTGATATATACATTATATATTACTTAAATCAAAACAAACATCTCTTAATGAAATTCAACAACATCCACCCTTCGCTTACCTTTACTTGTGAAGAGGAGCAGGAGAATAAACTACATTTCCTGGATGTCTTGCTAAGTAGGAGAGAAGATGGGTCACTTGGGAGAAGTGTGTACAGAAAAAGCACATTCACAGGGCAGTACACACACTTCCTTAGTTACGTGCCCATTAAATATAAAAGGAATCTTGTAAAATGTCTCGCGAGCAGAGCAAGGAAGATATGTACGGAGGACCTCTTACAAAAGGAATTTGAATATATTCACGATTCCTTGACGGAGATGGGTTATCCGAGTAGTTTCATAAAGAAACATATGAAACCATCAGAGAAGAAACCGGTGACTCTGACTGCACATAAGAAACCTCTGTTTATTAAGTTACAATTTAATGGGGACTTATCTAGTGAGATTCTATTCCAAAGACTTTCAAGGAGCATACGTAGAACATTTTACGCAGCACACCTATGTTTGTCATTCTCTAGCCGACGAATGATTGGGACACAAACGAAGGATAAGCTTGATAGTTTTGCCACATCTATGTGTATTTATCAATTCAACTGCACCTGCGGTGACAGTTATATTGGGCGTACTACTAGACAGCTTAGCCAACGCGTTAGTGAACATCTCCCATCGTGGTTTGGCAAAGGACAGACAAAAACAATCCGAAGCTCAATTCTGTCACATCTAATTGATAGTGGTCATGTAGTCGACAAAACGAAAGCCTTCAAAGTAATTCATCGTATCCCTCCGAATCTTTCTAATAGACTTCGTATTCGTCTACTGCACACAGCTGAGGCGATAGGCATTCGAACTATTGAACCTAAACTATGCATTCAAAAGAAGTTCGTGCAGCCATTATCCCTCCCGTGGTCTAATAAGACATAACCGATGAAAGACTTCTACATCACCCTTTATTTATATTTCCAACCCCTTTCTTATCAATCCTTAATCTTATCTTATATTCATTATAAACGTGTTTCATTTCCTTCCCCTACAATCTAACATTACGTAATCGGTTCATTTGTTTTTACTAGCCTTTATCGACTACTTCCACCTGAACAATTGTTTGTTTAATCATACTGTTTTTCATTATTCGTGTTATCACAGATCGCCTCATTTTTTCATCCTTATTATTGATAAGACCATTATTATTATTATTACTATTATTAATATTATCATTACCACTATTATGACTAACTGCACAATTTATATTCACCATCGTATTATCCTATAGACAAAACACCATGATTGGTTTATATATGAATTTTTATTTGTAAACTTATATATATTAGAGTTAAGCCTGATGAGATCTAATTGAAAACAATATTGTTCGCTTAAATGTGTTGTTCTAAACATCTCTTATACAATTAACAAACTAACACTAGACAATTACCTTTTGCCTACGTAATACATCAATCAGTTTCATTTGTTTTTTGAATGCTCCAATTAATTCAGTTTTTTGTCTTTCTAGCCGTTTATTCTCAGTCATTAAATTATCAACATTATGACGAAGGGAATCAACATTTTCTCGGGTAGATGAACGAACCTTCTCCAACTCTGCTTTATACCGATCGCATTCTTCAGTTGCACGATTCAAACGTGTTGTTAAGGCTTTAATTTCAGCAGCTTGTTGATCTAAACTACGTTTAACTGAATCATAGTCCTGAAATTATAGAAATAACAAAAATTCATTCAGTATGCGACTGAAAACCTTCTTTGTGCTGTGTAAAAGTCTTGCTAACATTAATTTACTTGATGGTGTTTATTCGCCCACTGAGTATAAAGCAATTACCAATTCACTACCTTTACATTTTCGCACCAATTAAGTAAAATTTCTAACGTTAACTTAGTGCTTATATTTCTACACAACTATGAGACATGATACACACAACATGATAAATAGGCAAGTATGGCATGAATATGAATCCACGTAATACACAATGTATGTAAAGTACTGCATACAGCTTTCGAAAGTGTGACCCAATATTCGAGCATATAATTGAAGTCATTCACTTTAAAACTGAATAATAATAATAGGTATATATTAGATGGATGTAGGCAATCGCCAAGAAGCCTTGCAACTAGGTTTTGTGCTAGCTGGTATTCGTCAGCAAGGCGTATCTGCAGTCTTGAAGGTCCCCTCTGAGATTCAAACCCGCGTCACCCAGTGCTGCAGTCAGAGACGTGACCACGTTGACTGCCTCTAAACATCTAGTATCAACAATTCAAAGTGTACTGTGATGGCGAGCAACGTAGAATGCTGGCCACATTGTGAACTTGATTTATAGAACTCAGTATGCACCAAACAAAGGACTAGACACATTAAACTAGTTACTAATTAGTGTCCAATCAAAGTGTGGTGAGAGCTGGCTGTTAGAGAAAATTGGTGGACAGTAATTTACGTCGGTGTTTGTGTCCCAATATCGGTCGCGAGAAAAATGAGAACAAAGGCTTTGCGTAGGCGGATACAGTTAACATATAGATGATCTGGCATTTAAGAGACAGTCACAAAGAGATGCAAGGTCAACTTTCTGTGAGAAACAACCAATCAGAAGACTGTGTTTTTCTGCCAACAGTAATCTATAATATGTACATGAAAATCTATAAATATGTGTTGATTTGCTTAATAAACGATCTGTTGCCTGGCCCTTATCTTCTCTTGTTACAAAAGTAATAATAGGTATATCTTATCTCAATGCTTTAGTGTTTTACTTTTCAGAAAGTAATAACGCCAAAATAGGAGGCTATATAGCAGAAAAGGAAAAGTTGAATAAAACAAAAACCAGAATGGTGTTCTGCATTTTTAAATAAATTGCCATACGAATAACAAAGACAGCCTTGAGAAGAACTTATTTACTGACATACTACTCATGAGTAACTAGAGCCATTCCGATGAAATAAAATGGTAAGCATGAACCGATTAAAAACCTCACGCAAAACAGAACACCTACTGCTGAACTCACACTTATACAACATTCTTACTTCTTCACTAATGTTGCATTTTTTTTCTAGTTGTTGAATAGTGACTTTTTAACTAACAGTGGCATTAAAATAAGAATGTATTCCGAAAATTCCATATATTAGGTTTTTCTAGACGGTGGTCCGTCAGCAGTGAAGATCCAAGACCGTGTTTAGTCATATTCGAGACATATCAACTGGATGAACAAGTAACCAAGTGATGTCTTTCTCACAATGGGATTCGAACCAACCACCAATCACCTTCGTCCAGTAAAAATATGACACGGAAAATTTCCAAGCTTCAATTAAATAACCACTTACTTTTTTGTAATTAGTCTTTTCTGTTTCAAGAGTACTACAATGACTTCGTGTCTCACTTAAACTTTTCTTCATTTTCTCTAGTTGATTCGAATGTGAAGATGTGACTCTATGCAAACGACTGCGTTCATCTTCTAGTTCTTGAATACGATTTTTCATTCGAACTCCTTCTTCATTCTAAGGCAACAGAATTGATTGTAGGAAGCCCGGAATAGAATAAAGCATAAACTAAGTGAAAAAGGAATATATATATATATATATATATATATATATATATATATTCAGACAATTATGAACAATCTGGTAAAAGGTTATCTCGTGCTGAAACACGAATTCCTTAGGAAAACCGGTATGGAGGACTGACTCTGTATGCAGAACCACATAATTCCACGACACAACAGATATTTTAGCACTCTACAGTAAAGCAAAAGGCCTTTACAAATAGTTTATTCGACATCCATAGATTTATTTTTTTTTAAACACCATGAGTACTGAACGGCACACGTAGTACCTAAAGTGTCTGCAAATTGCTGGAGTGTTAGCCATATCAGTATTCCAAATATCAACTGGTCCGAGGGATTATAAATCTATCAAGGATATGAATTCCGAGAATCTTAATAGTCGACAAAAGACTAGTAAATACCTGTCAAAACAAACATGAGATGCATTAAAATCATCCGCAGTAAAAACTTAGTATTTAAAAAACAAATAAATTTAGATTCTTCCTCGTACTCTCATAAAATGAAAAATCAAGTTCATCCCATATTACGGTGGCACTATTAGTAAAAAATAAACGCCTGAATTAGCAGCATGTCAACCGATGGATTATTATTATTATTGTTCCTCACGAAACTAAAAAGTTTTAAGTTGAATATCCTAAGGAATGTAGAATAACTGCAATCAAAACGGTCCTAGCTACAAGGAAATAACAACCCACTGGGTTTCAAATCGCTATTAGCATTTTCATAGGTTGTATTGTGAGGTGAATACCGAAGCCCATATTGCATTCATACCTCCTTAATACATACAAATATCTAAGAAAAAGACAAGTAAAACAACGGTTTTTATTCCCATTAAATCGTTAGATGAAAACAGTGATATTTCATTCCTACGAATTTGGGTGAACAAAGGGACGACGAGAGCTCTGCAATTAAACCAACCAGCTCAGAGAACACAATTAATTGCAAATCATCCACCTGAGCTACAAATCTTCTCTATTATACCAAGATGGAGCTAGAATTGCTAGAAGCACGGTTGGATTGCTTGCAGGTGAACATACATTTCATTTCCTAAGATGTGTATACATATTCCAGTAATCAATAATATAAAATTCTATCATATACATCTTGAATGCTGTATTTAAGCATTTCAAAAGAGGGGAATGATAACAGAAACAGTGACCTAAGTCTAAAAAACGCATAAATATCACAATTACACTGAAATCTAATGCATAATTAAACTATTCAATCGGAAATCAGAGTCCACTGTAACCGAAAACTAATATGCATCATATACATCATGTTATAATATGTAAAATATAAAGTGCATAAGAGAAATATATTCCCTTTTAATTAGATACTCGTCCATGGCTCTACAGTAATATGTATATACATATATGGCTTTTTTGGACTAAACATAATTTATCAATCCAATTGTATTAAGTTCATTAATAGTAGTCTACAGACATGATACTGAAAGGGAGAAAAATAACCAAGAAAATTAAAGCATCAATTAGGGAACAGAAATCTTGTAAGGTAACTAAGACCGAGGAGGAACACCCATGTATATGAAGGCTGAGATAAATTACTTGGATGACCAAATCAAAGAGAGCGACCGTACGAATACCTTTCTTACACAGATGAGTCCCAATAACTCTTATCCCATGTGAGCGAAAGTATGATAAAATCTTTACGTGAGCTATGCATTTATTTTCTAAAGTGCAATATGCCAGTGAAGAGTGGTAAACGAGGAGATAATCGAAAAAATGTCTCGCTCAATTGACTTTTCCTCGTCTTATAAATGGGGAATATTTTACTACAAATGATACACAATGGAAAAATGGTCACAAACCTGTTGAGCTATTTGTGAATTCAGCTTTTGATTTTCTTCCAACAGAACACGAACTTTTGCTTGCAAATATCGATTTTGAGCTTTTAAACTTAGTCCCACAGCGGCTTCCGGAAGAATATTCCTGTCATTCATTTCATTCCTATCAGGCTAAAATTTCGGAAGAAGAATTAATGCATCTTATTCCGTAGCCAGATCAACTTCATTTAATTTTTACCCGTTACTTTAAGTCTAATCTACCAATCAATACAAGTTGAATACAAAATGACACAATATTTTGTCTTTTCAAAAATCAACTGTATACATACTGTGCCTTCCATTTAAAGGGACATAGGAAAAGTAATTAACAGTTGATACAAAAGGCTCGCTAGAAAACGAGCAATGCAATGGGTGACAGTGAATTTTTTTATTTTTTTTTTATTTTTTTTATTTTTGATTACAGCTTGATTCCACACCGTATTTTTGGTACAAGTATGGAATTTTCAGCGTGGATATCGGTAGCCCAAATTTCGCAGGCCGACCATTGATATCAGGTGTGCGTCGGCGAGGGCTCGAACCCCGGACCATAAGTATGGTCGGCGAGAGTCCTAACCACTGTGCCACCGACGCACAGACAGTTTAGAACATAATCATCGTCGATTTTTTAAACAATTCTGAAAAGCTAACTAAGAGTCAACATCAAACAGGACCAGATTAAAAGTCAACTACCAGTCGAAAGAAAAGTGAAAAAGCTGCTAAGTGGAAATAGGAAGACGAAGTGCAAGTCAACAACCAAAACAATGAAAATCACGACGTGCAGCTAGGTACTCGGGTATATGAGAACACATACAAACGAGGAGTGTATTTGTGGTTCTAGCTGCATTCTACCATTTTAATCACCATTATATGAAAGTCGAATTAGGTGAAGAGAGCTGTAGATCACGTAGACACAACAGAAATCCATGAGGAAAATCAAAGAAAAACACAAAAAAACACTTGTAATTGCTGAAACTAACAATCCAAACAAAACATCACTTCAAGAAGTGACTAAACGATGCACAAAACAGTGAGTAACAATTCAGCCTGGCTTCATGTAAAATAAATGTGCTTTCTGGTTAGTCAAAGTTCAAATGTGTTGATATAGGGCCTGAATCGTTTAACGAAGCTGAGATAGCAAATAAATTGAAAAAATAAAAGGGAGTGAATTTCTACTGAAATGATGGAATCTGCACGTTAAGCAAGAAGCGTGCTAGAAATGAAGTCCTTTAGCAATACTTAGTGCAAGAGGAAGGAAAATCTAGTACTGGCTGTAATTATTTTAAACGTCATCAGCTCTACAAATCTGAGATTTATGGGAGATGAACAAGTAGAGACCGTTTTGTATGGAAAAGTATTCAAAAACTGATTTGTAGTATGTGAATGCAAAACGCCTCGTAGGATACAGCGAGAATGCAGTTAATATGCGTCTCATATTTATCTTAAGTCTTATGACTGTTTTGTCTGGAGGTTGGAAGGCCAAACATTAAAGTTCAGCCACACAAACTACCTAAGGACTTATACAAAAATAAGCGAGTAATCAACTGAAATTCTACTAAACGCGCATAAACAGATTCTAGATTTCGCCAATCCGTATGCCAAGTAGATGTCCACCAGTTATAATTAGGGTATGCCTCAGGCAGTGAATAATTCAGTACTGATAGTCCAGTCGGATAACAAAATGTACCAACAATGCTGTGAAACAGTTGGTACTCAGTCATTTACTGACTTTATGGGATGACATGCATGATGATAAACATGTAGACTATTCCAATGCACTCCCGACATAGGGTACTAATTCGATCTTTTCTAATATACTAGGAAACGGAAACTAACAATAAATAAGGCTAGGAAATATTAACCATATGGTTCTTTAAAAATATCATAACCGTGATCATATTCTTGCCTCTCCTCATAACTGCTTGAAAATACCCTCGTCTTTTTTTGAAAAATACACCCATCATTGACTACTATACTTAAGTTTGAAACTAACCTCGTCACAGTATTCAACTTCATCAACAGATGCAGTGTTTAGATTGTCTTTATCAAGATACTCAGATGTCGGTTCTACAGTATCAACTGACTGACGTAAAGAACTTTGACGATATTAGTGATTATCCGAGGTACCTGCAGTATTCTGAGTTTGTAAGTGACGCTTTACATAAATCATCATTCGTCGATTTAGCGCCGTGAGCCTAATTAATTCAATATGTTTAAACTCGTAAAATACCAATATTTCGTCGGCTTCCCTTAACAAGTGCATAGTTTTTGCTTCGAGCTGAGAGTTAATGTACCTTAAAAATAATAAGGCATTTTTATGTACCTGTATTCACATTCTTTTTCAATACCCTCATCACCAGGACGCAAATTCATATCACGCACAAACAAGTTTAAGGGTAGCGGTTCTTAGAAGGTCGTCAACGGAATTCGAGGGGTTCTTTCGACAATAATTCTTCATATTTTCTGTAAATTGTAGAACTATTGTTTCCGGGCAAAAGTTAACTGAATGACCCAGAACCAAATGATAGTATTCCATATGAGGTTTGATAAAGGCTTGGTATGCGAGCTAAAATATTTCATCATAAAAGCTTAGAAAGGCTTTGCGAATGACCTGCAACGTTGTTCAGTTCTTGGTATGCAGTAACTTTCAGTTCTCTAGATCCTTCAGGCCAAGAGATATAAATACTCCAGTATCCCTTATTTCATAACCACTGGTGGAGTGAGGCCATTTACCCAGCATGAAACTGCTCGTTGTGGTTCATATATATCGCAAAACTCACTAAAATTACCTCTCAAAATTCGTTGGGTAGACATATCTAAGTCTTTTCACAGAGTAAGTCAACAGATAATATGTACGAGCTGTCTGAAATATAATATCGTCGGTAAAATCCAGATGGAACTATTTATGTCAGAAACAGCACAAGACCTAAAACAGCAAATTGCTGTAAAACACACTCCACTTACTCTCATTGACTTCGAACATTGTTTCTGAACAAGTGAATGTTCATATCCAGTCCTCTGAAAGATCATCAGCGAAATCCCATTCCAGATATTCTTAACACGTTTCGAAAAGACCTGTAATCAGCGGCCTCATATCACCACACGGAACACCTTTGAATTCCTCATTTATGGTACAGTTAAGGCCCTTTCTACTCATTATTCATCTGTTAAATATGAGCCACTAAAAATTTTAAAAACATACATAAACATACACTTATACACACCAGAATAATATATATGGTTCTGTGAAACCATCCAGTGCAAAAATCAGTCTGCACTCGCTCAAAGGGTGGATTCTGTTCCTATAATATGATCATCGGCATTCCAGGAATAAATCATGAGCAGCTGGAACTCTAACTTCAAACCAATTATTTGATTCCGCTTCCTGGTGTTTTTTGTTGGCTTTAATCCACACATCACCTGAAAGTCCATATTTGCCAACAACAGCAAGCGCGTAAGCAGCCTGCAGTCTGCCCGTCATTACCACTTATGTCTCACCGAGCAGTTAAAGTAATCCATACCACATCAATTAACAATCAAATTGGTTCATTTTCCAAACTGGACAATTAAGGACCAAAGTTTCTATGGACTGAAGCCTATATTTTGAGCGAAGTCCCTCGAAGTGAACTTTACAGGACTCTAATATGTCTCTTGATTTTGCTAGGAGTGTCGGGGGGGGGGTGAAAAGATGCATATATCTATCTGAAAATAAGTTGATTCTTACTCATAAGTTTTCTTGCTCGAAGATTAATCAGCCTTACATTTAACGGACCTTCTAAGCATACGCTCTGTAACACAAAGTTAGTGAACTAGTTATCCGCCAGTATTCTGGCGCATATTCAGCAACACTCAGAATAAAATATTCGGTGGATCTTATTTCGCAAATGTTTCTGAAGTTTTTCGTAGCTGTTTCAAACAAATCTAACAAAACTTAGAAATAATTATCAGTGATACTTAACTGTCGTCTGAAACACGATCTCAGGATCATAATCAGCCAGTCTTCAAGGTGCACTTACTAATGAAAACTTTTGTTCGCAATTACTCAGTAATTACGGAATTCCGACAACGAATGGAGAGACTCGTTACTGTCAAAAACCCTCAGTTACGATTGGATAACCTCATGATTAGTATCCCTTCAGCAGGATGAAGTTGATAAGACGTCTACACAGTGTAATTGAAGACATGATGGATATCTTCAAGGCATCTTCTGATTTGCCTACTCAGGTATGTAAACGTGTATTTTTATATATTCGGTTGAGAGTAGTAAATGAGCAATACTTGACGTTTCGGACTGTGCTACTGAACGAGATTCTGTGAGTAAATCAACGAGTTCATATTCAGGTATTCTGCTCGTCAGTACAGTGTTTAATCGTTTATTCATCATCCACGTATTATAGTTAACACTGAAACAAGGGTGAACAAAATCAAGCTTTTATCAAGTGCTATGGCATCTGGTTTCTTATTAATGAAGCTTACTAGTTGACTGCCGTGACTGAGATTACTAACGACTAGCTGTTGTATTTCCAGTCTGAACTCTTTAATGTAGATTTTGATATGTCTGTGTTTTGAATCTACCACCTATTTGTCTATCCAATTTGACACCCAGAAATTTAAATGCACTAGCATATTCTTGTAACGCGTATCTGGTTAATGAAGTGAAGCCTGGATAATGAAGCAACAACACAAATTGCGCCCTGTTGACCTGCTGGAAATTCAGTGTATTCGAAATATGAAATAATAGGTATATCAAGAACATAAATTCATTTCTAATGGCGGACATAAAAAATAAAGACCAGCTGAGAATTCACTAAAAACTGAAATTGAAAATTAAATGAATAAGTAATCGGTATAGATGTTTGCGCACAGTACTGAGTATATTAACGCAAGCTCTTATACCGACAACTTCCAATGTATTTCAATCTCACGTACCAAAAGCAAAGCAAAAGACGGTACCTGATCGTCCAAATTACGCGATTTATTTCAGGACCAAAACGAGGGAATTATTTACCGCTGCAGATCGCTCCACCCCTAGTGGGGTTGTGCCAAACCCTAAGACAGAACCAGGAGGAAGTTAAAAAACTCGATGGTTCCCTTTCGGGTGAAAAAATCTTCCGAGCGGCTTGGTGGCGTGCCTGCTGGTTTGTCTGTCTATGCTAATAGGGTGTTATTACATAGCTCCCTTAATGTAGTTCATTGGATCCCGTGCTTCATTTATTTCTGGTCCAGTGCCCTTACCACCTGGAAAAGAAAACAAGAACGCAGAGAACCATGTCGAGGAAAATGTACCAAATCAGCGTTTTTAAAACAAATCATGTGCATTTACCACACAGTAAAATAATGCTAAGTTTAGAACATCGAAAAGAATACATCTAATTATTTTAGTGCATTTAACATGTACTGTTAAAGAAACACTTACTTGTGTTTAGTGATACCGTATATAAAAAAATTGATGCATCTAAAAAACATTGTCAGCCACGTCTCGTAAACCGTTAATGCCCAGCTCTTGCTACGCTCGGGCTCACGCTGTCCCTTGAAGTTTCTCAGAAACGCTTAGTAATAACGGACGAAAAAACCAAAACACCAATTGTTGACTCGAGGATTCTTTATTGTTACACCAACATATAAATCAAGTATGACTAAGGTCTGTGAACAAATATTACAATAACAAATCACAATATTACTCCTGACGGTTTATTGCTGACTTCTTTCTGAACAGCGACCGATGAGACGATAACTGTCGTATTGATGCCTCCACCAAAATTGGGGAAGTTGGTTTTGAGTAAACAACCATGAATTGATCGTTCAATCTTCAACTGCATTGACACTCCCCGGCAAAATACGGATCCAACCCCTCTTTTCCATCACGACCAATGCACGTCGACTTGGATGCCATTCCGAGAACCTGGGTCACACGGACAGAGCTGAAATGGAAAACAAACAGAAAAGCCAACACACCACAAGCATACTCACAGCACAATCTCACACATCAATGACGACCTCCGCCTTCCAGTTAAAGGCATCCTCTTGACACATCCTTTTGCAACACAATCGCCACTTACTAGAATGACTCTTGCAGAATGCAACGTGACCATGGCAGTACCTCACGATACTTTACGCTCATCCCCTTATCTACTCACTACCAATTACCACTGAAATCGCTTGTCACTCATTCTGCCTCAATTCTAGGACGGTGACGTATGCGAGCCTCAGTCGTTTACACTCTTTCTCCCCGGCGTGTCGGACCGCAGCTAACAATTATCTCCGTGTGCATTTCATTCTCTGCAATAGCCTCCCCGGCGTATACGACCCATCTGCTGTCCTTAACATCAATCAATTCATTCACGGATGTAGAAGACTAGAAACAACTTCAGAAGTAATCACGACGAAAATTTTAACAAAATTATGCAATAAAAACAAGGTACGAAAACAACGAGTAAACACAATGAATCCAAAATCACAAATCGATAAGAAACCACACGTATACACAAACAGTACAAATAACCTCGCGGATCATGTCTTGGTGGAATTCCTTCGAAGAATTGCAGGACTTACACCAGTACGCCTACAATCCTTCATAGGTTGACGATTGTAAGTTGTGGAATGTCCGGGCACAAACAAGATTAACCAACAATTACAATAATTGGAACTCACACAATTATTTAACAGAAGCATATGTACAGTCAGTACATCACATGTTGTGGATTCTGGCTTGATGAACTAACTTTGAAGAACTGTAGGACTTACAGCAGTACGCCTACATTCCTTCTCAGGTTGATGATACAAGTGGAAGTCGTCCGGACACAATCAGAATTACTAACAGCTAGATGACAGATGATATCAATTCAGTATACACAACATGAACATATGTACAAAATCACACACCGAGCACATTGTACTGCTCATTGATGCGCTACCCTTTGAAGAATTGTAGGAATTACAGCAGTACGCCTACAACCCTTCTCAGGTTGACGCTCTAGGTTGGAAAATCATCGCAGAGTTCATTTGCTGACTTCCTTCTATCAGCTATATCCTCAAATCTGAACGGTAACACGCTCATGTCATTGTATCGTAGAACATAGATGACGAACAAACACACGAAGTATCTGGTCAACCAAGCGTAGGCACAGAGTAATTTACACCAAAGATAATAGCATTCAAATAGTAACTTGAAACTAGAAATGCCTTTATTTATGCAAGTCAATTTAACAATTACTCTCGCGTTTACACTTGGCTTATCCTCACTAAACTGACCATTGATATTCGTCCTTTCAAACGAACTGACACTAGCATAGTCATTGCACAAGATACTTGAGTTGATGGGCGTCTGTTTCATTGTGGATGACAGCACCAACGTTGACTGATTGATATCAGCTGATGAAGTTAGCGGTGGATCAAGAGCTGTTGTTGCTCGACTTTCAGAAATTTGTCT